TACCTCCTACATGATTTACCCAATAGTGATGCTGCTGTAAAACTGGGCTTTTCTAATTTTACTGATTACATAAATTGTCTATACCTGTTTCATATCCCAACACAAAGTTCAAGGCATAAACTTACAGAATATAAAACCCTCATCTGTTACTAAAAAGCAACAGGTGGTTGAAAATGAGATTTATATAGTTCACTGATGAAAATAAAAAAAGCTGTAAGAGCTGACAGATGAGCAAATGTTTATTCACTCATACATTCATTCATTTATTGGACATCAATGACCGCATATAAAATGAATTTAATGCCACTCCATCTCATTTCCCACATCAACAATTCACAGCTTGGACTTGGATTAATTGGCAGATGCAAGAGAACAGCCAAGGGTTTATGGCTATTATGACTGAGCTTAGTTTGGCTGGAGTGTAATGCAGATCAAAGCAACGCATGCCTGCCAGATATTGTGTTTGAGGAGTTTGTTCTGCCTTTTCCTGTGCATAAACAGTTGACTTCCGTCACCACACAACATTTCCCAGAAATTCTGGAATGTCTTATCGCATTCTTTTAAGACTGATTTCCTCCTATTTCTACCTGTTCTCAAGGTTTTATTTTGCCATTACTCAAATATTATGCCTTGTGGCTTCTTTAATCTTATTTTTTTTTAATGTGTTTATTTTATGTGAGCTCATTTCTGTATACTAAAATTCATGTTAGTTTTTTTTTAGTATTCTGTACAGGTAAAAATTAATCCACCGTGATGCGTACTCTGTATTAAATATGTTATTCCAGTTTACAGTTAAACTTTGTTAAAATTACAGATATGATTGCTATATTTTTCTTGGGTATAAAGAAACTAGGTGCTCATATGTGTTAAAGACTTGGGGCAATTAAGTAGAAACGCTTTGAGATGTCCATTAGACCCCATGAATAAATGAAAATCTATAGTGAATTTTGGAAAATATTCAAAGTTTTTCAATTTCAAGTATCTTCTTCCTTTTGTTTCATATCTGCACTTTGTTTCCTAATCATAATTTCATGTTATCCTTCTTTACTGTTTGCTAGAAAATTTTTTCTCCATGTTTTTTACTCTCAGAATTAGGCAGCCATTCCCTATTAGGCACACAGCTCCGTTCTTGGTAGAGCCATCTTTTTAAAGAATTTGTGTATCTCTACTCTCACTGTGTTTATTAGATATTCTGCAATTTTTGGCTGCAAGTTGTTTGCTGCCCTCACAGACCTTTCCAAGATTGTTTAGGTGTGCTAACTCCTTCCCAGGACACTGAGATTTGCCAACCTGAACATGTCTTCCAGCACTGAGGGCTGGTTTTTATTCTACCTTAGAGATGTCTATCAAATAAAGTACTGTAAGGCAAAGTACTTGCAAATCAGTGCTAAACAAAGTAAAGGACAAACAAATCAGAGATGTGGAAATTGCCTGAGACAAGTATGTAGGCAAGTATACAGGAATGTAGGAGGTGAAATACTGCACATTTGGAGATTTGAAGATGGGGGAAATACTGATTATGAACTTGAACTTTTCCCAGCATATTTGAGAGAGTAATGAAAAGGATGTAATAAAATGGGAAAATATGTTTCATGCTAGAACTAGTAACTGCATATTTATTTCCTGAAGGACTTCAGGAATCTTGCTGTTTCCACCAAAAATTCTGCAGCAAATTCTTTTTCCTCCTGAGCTTTTTTCCTGCATCCATTTCTATAACATTGCATTAACAGCCTTTTTCTTACTCCAGTGATACAGACAGTGCTGGGTGAGCTGGAGTCACAGCCTCAGTGTCACTGACCAGCAGCTGAGACCACTTTATGTCCATTCACCTTCCTTTTTCAGATTCACATTTGTTCAAAAAAATGCATTTTCACTAAAGATCTGAGTTACATCCTACTGCACTTCAGCACTGAGTATTTTCATGTACTGGACGACTTGCTAAAAATTCCTTATGCTAGTATGCAGATAACAATGTCTTTTTATCAATATCATGGTGTTCTATGATGAGTCCAAAGGTAAAATAAAGGTTTTATCTTGAAATAGGTTCTCACAGTACCCATTAACACAAATCAATTATCACAAATGTAAACTAGTTTGCAAATGAAACAGGATAAAGCAGAAAGCCCACTGGGGATTTCTAACATGGCTACTGCAGTTCTAACTGCACACCTCCTCTTTAATTTTATTATTCAAATGAATAAACACCCTTCCCCTCAAACTGCAGGAATGCCTCTATTATAGAATGAATCAAAACTCTAGTAGAAGCCAATCATTGTCAATACAAAGAGAAAAAAAGCGTTTATTAGGAAAGAAAAAGAATAGTTGCAATTAATGACTTCTGTTTGCTCAAGCAGTTTTGGTTTATGTAGCAATTTCATATCTCATAATTACATGTTCTTTTCCGTGGTACATAAATTTGCAAATACTCAGAGTGGTAGATGTAATGCCTCTCTGTCTAGTGCTCATATTTCCCACTGAGACACTCAGAGGTGTTGACTGACCATTTTGGTTGTAACATTATATTGAAAGAAATATTTGAGCTAAAGCTCTGAAATTTTAATTTTTTCTGTGTGTTTCATGACCAGCCCCAGACCAGGAAATGTGAAGTGACTGTTGAATTGCCATGATTACATGTACATGATGCATGTACATCTGAATAAATAACTGTTAGGCAAGGTTTTATTTTGCTTGTTGACTGCCGGTCATGATTGTAGCAATAAGACAATTTCTGTTTTTTCCAGTTAGTCCTCCAAGCTGAAGCTTGGATAATAAAAAATCATAATCAAACCAGCAAAATCAAATAACCAGCAGACAATCCAGTTCTAGTGTCTTCTTTCACTGCTAAAACTTCTCTAGAACCACAAGTCTTTCCCAGCAAGTCTCACCTTGTGTCTCCCTCATTACCATGGTCTGATAAATATGTATGTTCCTCTTACAGGTCACCATGATTCTTACCCACTGTCTCCTTTCTCTTGTAGCCCTTCTTTTCCAGAGCAGTGAGCAGCTGATGTACCCACTGCCTCTCAGTGGTCTCTAGCCTCTGACTTCAGTAAATCTGCAAGTAAATTTTGCTGCTGTTCTCCCATTTCTTGCCTTGTCCAATCCTCTAATTCAGATTATGCAGTATTAGGAAAGCAGTATTACATTTTCTAGGGTTTCCCCAGTTTCAGCATTCCCCAGTCTTAGTTTTGCATGTCAGAAAGCTCCTCAGATGATATGTGCTCTCTTAGCAGATTCTATTTTCCCTTGGGATCAACTCTTTCTCAAGTGTTTGTACAGTTCTGTGCCAGATTCTTCAGGAAATTCCCGTGGTCTTTCTGCTGGAGATTGTTTCAGGAAATCCTTAATGATGTCAAGTTTCCTAATTCTGCACTTACTAGCTCCTATTGGCACTTTGTCCTTATATTCAGGTACAACTAGGAATCTCAATCTACTGTATTCAAAAGATGCATGAACTTTTGACCTGCCACAGCTAAGAAAGTAAATTATAAGAGTCTCAAACTAGCAGAATGATTAAGTGGGAACAGTCTTTATTATAGGTGGAAACACTATTAAATTATTCTTGTTTCTCAACTAAACTGAGCAGTGAAGTTTTGTTTCATCTTTGAGCAGTTAGTGGTATTCAAAGGAACAATGTGAACTTCTGTAAAACCAAAGACTTTTTGTCCAGTGAAGGCTAGAAATTATATTCAGTTTTATTTTTCCTCTTCAAAAAATCTGTACTGCCATAAAGACTTGCTTAAATCTGATTTCATTCAGGGTCTGCTGTTTATCATTCAGAATGCCAAGCTATATCAGCACTGAGCATAGGCTTGGCTGAAATCAGTGTATGAGCTAAGCAAGCAAAAATTGGTAGCTATGCTGATTTTCTAGGAGGTTGAATATCTTAGTAGTGATGAAAGACGTTCCTTGAAAAAGATACAGAGAAATACACCATTTTCTCAAAGCTCCTCAGCTAAAACCTTTGCAAAAAGCGTCTTTTATGACAAAGAAACTTTCATAGCAAACCACAGAAAACTTCGCTTTTAAAAATGCAGATTTATGAAAAAAAATTACAGTCTCATGGAGAGACTTTTTCCCAAATGGTGCAGATATAATCAAGTATCTCTGATAGCAGTCAATCTCCATGTTTCAAATACAATTTTTGCCAGTATTTGTTTTCAGGGAATGAGTATATGGTTTCCCCCAACACCCTTCCATTTAAACCAAATGATCAATATTCTTCAGTGCTTTCAACTGTTAATAATGTCAGTGTTCTTTTGGAATGTACATTTTGATAAGGGAAACTATAGGTAGCACATACTTGATTATTGCAGAGTCATGGCTTTTCATTTTTCACATTGCTAAATCCATTAGCATTTTTGTAGGACTGTTTTATGTCAGTTGGTGAGGGAATGGGAGCTGGGAAGGAGGACACTTGGTTGGGAGTAATCTGGATTCACTTTTGAGTTCAGAATCAGTCACTGCTGCCGTTTTATGGAGCCTTGCTATTGTGGAGCTCTGTAGGGCATATGGAGCAAGCAGTGCTTGCTTTGATCAGTCATTTCTTGAAAGAAGGCCAGGTATTTCTGTTAGTGAAGCCCTGATAATAATCTTATTTAAACAAGCTTTAGGTCAGACTTATGCTTTGAGTCTCTAGACCCTCACATCTTGAAGAAATGCTGTTGCTGGAAATAATTAATTTTTCTCATGAACCACTATTAAATCCTCCTCAATCTGAAAAACTAGAAATATAGTAGTAGGAAGACCAAGAATTTAATTGAAAAGGAAAGGAGAATATTAAAATTAAAATGAAGAATTTAATTTACTATGGACTATTTCTATGAAAATTTTTTTAAAGAAGTTGTGCATTCCTGGTTGACAACAAAATCCCTTAAGTGCCTCTATTCATATCTTAAAATTTTGTAGTTATTAAATGATTATTGACTTTAAATAAGTTTTCTGTGGGGATAACACCTTAGTTTTAATTGAAAATGTGTGAATTTTGTTTGTTTGTTTAGGAAAGGGATTCCAAGTGAACAAGTGAAACATGCTGATAGAGAGCAAGCCAAGCGTATAGTTTACTCAGTGGTTTATGGAGCAGGTAGGCATTTTTAGAAAAAAAACACAGCTACTATAAATTTATACTTTATTCATGATTTATATAAGTAGAGTGAATTTCTATAGGTGAGTAAAAGTTTGTCTAAGTATTACATTTATATTTTTATCCAGGATTATTAAATTATCTACTCAGTATAAAAATGATGAAATTAATGTAGTTACATTGCCATATACAAAGATTATCTGATTTTGTATTTATTTATTGCTGATAAAACTGAAGCATGTATCTGATTTTGAGTGGGCTTTTGTATCCTCTCAGTGTATAGACAGAGATGAGAATAACTGCAATGAAAGTAAAAAAACTCCAGTATTGTTTTAAAACACATTTATAGAATCAGAGAATGTCAGGGATTGGAAGGGACCTCTGGAGGTCATCAGATCCAGCCCCCTGTTCAAGCAGGGACACCTTGAGCTGTTTGCCCAGAACTGTGTCCAGATTTTCAATGTCTTCAAGGCTGGAGAAAGGGCTCTTCAAGGTTCCACATCCTCCCTGGCCAGTCTGTGCCAGTGCTCGCTCACCCTCACAGTGTAAAAGTGTTCCCTTACTTTGAGTCATAACATTTGCTGCCATTTCTTCACAACTGCAGAAAACTTGCAAAAATCCATTGTTACCTGTTCTGCTTAAGTCCTAACCAGGTCCTAGATAAGTCAAGATGTTCTCCATACTTTCCAAAACTGCCTACTATTTCTTAAATGATGCCCAACTCTCCTTTTGCTTCATACATGCTTAAGAGTTACTTTTTCTGGGGAGATAAATGCATGTATGTCATCAGCCTAGAAGCTCTTGTGAACTGGTTTCAGTGAACAGCTGACTAACTTTCTCTACAGAGGACAAGTTCTTGAAAAAATCATTTTGGAAATGAGTGCCCTAGGCTGCAGACTTTATGTAACTTAGAAACACTTAATGCTACATTTTTGGTTCCTGGCTGTGCTTTCTAAGCCATCTTTTGCACTGAGTCCTTGGACCAAAGGCATAATCAACCAGGGTATTCCATTTATCATTTATGGCATTCAGTTGGAAAGAAATGCATCAAATTCAGCTCTCCAGAGTATCTATTTTGTGTTTAGGGGTGTGTGTAGACTATATACATGCCTATAAGGATAGATAGATAGATAGATAGATAGATAGATAGATAGATAGATAGATAGATAGACACCTCCATTTTTTCATTAAGCTGTATTGCATTTGAAACCTCTATGTTTAAAATCTGTATCAAAACAGCCCAGCACTAGTACCCTACACTGTAAATTTAGACCTGCCTGCGTTGAGATTGGAATCAAATCTTCAATTTCCCACCTGAATGGTTTCATCACTAGATTATTTCAAAAAATGCCAGCATTATCACCCCTGCCCCTTGGTCCATGCAAATGCTACGCATTTCCTATCTCTTCCCTTCACTGTGGGTGGAATGGGCAGATACCAGATGTAATCAGATGAATCACCACCAGTTAAATGCCCTGTAGTTCTGTGTATAGTCAGAAATGCCTCAGTTCCTGGGGCTCAGTGGAGCCTATGTCTGTCCTCTCATCTGTAGAGAACTTTCATGTTTGCATTTAAGCACAGTATTGGCATTCCCTCACTTCCTTTGAACCAGGCACTAAAGATTTCAGTGCAGCAGTGTTTGATATAAGTGTCTCCATTTACTTGTTTGCTTTGTGTCCCTCTCTCTCAAACAAGGGCAGTTGAAGCACCTCAGAGATAATACGAAGTTTCCAGTTCATTAGAAGTGTGATCAGATCCTAATTAAGACATGAAATGATATCATTAAACTACTTAGATGGAAACTGGCCTGACAAAAAGTAATTGTTAGATACACAAAGTTGATGGACTGAATTCCACCCACACTTCGTCTCACTTCAAAAGACAGCTCACTTTTCATTAAGAAGACATTTTGATACAACTGAAGAGTGTGAATACTACTTCTTTCAGGATTGAAAACTACAAAAACACTCCCTGAGGAGGTTGCCTGTATTAGGCTTACAGGAGTTAATAAAAACCTTTCATGTAGTAAATAGTATTTTTTTTTTCTTTTTGTTTTCTTAGCTTTAGGTTGCACTTGATTCATGTTTTCAAGGTATTTTCTTTAATTCTGAAGGATAATAAAGGAAGAGACAGACTGGTTATTAGGAAAAAGTTTTCATCCAGAGAGGTGGTTGGGCACTGGAACAGGCTTTCCAGGGCAATGGTCACAGCCCCAAGCCTGACAAGAGTTCAAGAAGCATTTAGACAACACTCTCAGGCACATGGTGTGACTCTTAGGGAGTCCTGTCCAGGGCCAGGAATGGATCCTTGTGGGTCCCTTCCAGCTCAGGACATTCTATAAATGTTTTTAGTAGGTTTGGAGCAGTTCGGTTCACCTGTTTCTGCCTTAGTCATCTTGTAGAACTGAAACACAGGTGACTTAAACATCTGTAAAATAAGGAATTCAATGGCAGTATGTTCAAGCCCTGAACTGACACAGAGGGCTATCACAGTGTTTAAATGAAAACTAATGCTATTTTCATTTTGGAAAGATGATACTGCAAAATGGAGAACACTGAAACTCATAGGCTGCTGCTAGTAATTCTCCTGGCACAGATAAGTCAAGGAAGAGTGCTCAGAGAAGGTTTAGTCCACTCCTGGACTAAACATGCCTTGCATGGCCTGTACTCCTGCATTGTGGTGCATTATCTGACACAATTACGTAGCTGTTTATTCCCCTCTTTTTGCTTCCTGGGAACTTCATTTCCCTGACACCTTTCAGATGTCCTTGCTAATATTATGCTTTAATTTTCCTAGTATTCTATGCAATTGTTCTGTATATTAATAGTTCTTTAAATGGATAACATGGACAAACTTAGATGTTACAGTTCTCTAAGGAAGTTACAGTAGTCTCCTAGCTGTTAGCAATGTGTGCTTTATCAGATAGATTTGTCATTTGCTGACCCAGGAAGAAAACCCAAATTAATTAGATGTCAAAAAAAAAAAAGTACAGATCTATAATAGCTCAGCAAATGTCATCCTGGATGTCAGTGTGAATTTCTTTCTCTAGCACCTTGTCCAGACTGGTGTTCTTGCTGCTCAGTGCAGATCCTGGCGTGACTGAGAACAAAATGCTACAAGAATTGTTCTGAAATGCACATCAGCCTGACAGTGATGGCATTTAGGTGGCTGAAATCTTCTCTCTTTTAAAAGTGCTAGACAATTTTTCTTGACAGTGTTACCATGACAATGACTATTCCATGCCTTTGGTGCCTTGAGATGTCTCCTCTCAGCTTATGTTCTTTGCAGACACGGTGCTGGTTCTCTGTCGCTGTGCAACTGATGGAAATATATGTCTTTCAAACTTCATATGACTAATGTTGATGTATGTTTTCTTTTTACTGGAACTGTTTGATTTATAAGTGGGCTTAAACTGTAACTCTTAGTTTATATTTTCGCACTCTGGAATATTTTCAGGTTTTTTTCACCTTTTCTTATAAATGCTCTTAGATCCAGCTTAACAGATACTGTGCACCTATATCCTGTCCAAAAGCTATTATTCCTTTCTCTCTCTGTTGAAACACTTTTTCTGTTTTTCCTTTTTCCATTTTTTTTTTCCAACCCTTTTATCTCAAAACTTGGACCCAAATTTCTGCTGACATTGAGGAGCCTAAGACTGTTTGAAATCTATGGGACTCAGACTCCAAACATCCTTTCTAAATTCAGGCTAAACCCTAAAGCTTCTAGCTAAACAACAAATATCTCCATCCTTTTGTACACCTTCATTTTATTTGTGTTTGCTTAAAGTTAATTTCAAATCTTTATCTGCTCTTCAAAGTTTGGAGATTTCAACACTGATCTAGTAGAATGATACTTAAAGCAACAGCATTGCTCTGTGAACAAAAGAGATTTAATCCACATTATAGATATAAATTATAACTAGGAATGTCTTAATTGGATACTTGTTATATACTTATTACTTATTTACTTAATCCAGTAACATCAGTAAAACATTCAAGCTCAGGGTTAAACATTTAATTTTGTTGCAATATGATTTTAGTGTATCAGATCCATCTTCTTTCATAGAGATAAGTTAACTAATTCCACTAACTGTGCATGAAAGAGTGCTATTATATGTAGTGCTTTTGTGTTCTGCTTTATTGCATAATAGTGAGAATTTCTGTACCACCAGGTAAAGAACGTCTTGCTGACTGCTTGGGAATAACTCCTGTTCAAGCTGGTCAATTTATAGAGAGTTTTATGCAAAAATACAAGAAAGTACATGAATTTACGAAGAAAACCATTGAACAGTGCCGAGATAAAGGTAATCCAAAGTCTGTGACCATATTTTGTTTACTGATCTGCAATCTGTGACAGTGGTGAAGACAGAGATTCAACTTGACCCAAATTCAGATAGTTACAGGACAGCAAAAATAGATGGAATATCCTTTCTTGGTGAATCAGGTTTGGGGTGTTCTTGTTTTCTTTTTTATCCCTAAAAGGAGCTGGTTTAGTCTGCCTTTTCTCAGAAGATACTAACAGAATAAGACATCTGTTCTCAGAATGAACCCCACTTAATGTCAAGTTACAGTGCATCATTTTGACATATAATGTACTCCAACAGAAAAAAAAGCCCAAGGAATCTTCTGCCTAATAAATTGGGTACATGGCTGCTGGACCGTGGAAGTTCAGTCAATTTACACAGCCAATTTTTTTAAACTTACTTTTTCTTTACATCAGTCAGAATTTATGTTCTTGAAGTTCAGGTGGTAGCTGTAGTGACAGATGTGTGCTGAGTGCTTCTGCAGCCAGCAGCTGCAAACTCTTCTTGCATCAAATTGTTTTTAGTTTACATATTCATTTATATTTAGTGAATCCTAGGAGTGCAGTAATTTGGGAAGAGAAAACATAACTGCTTGAAATATTGTCTTTTAAAAGCTTATTAGCAGAACTATCAAAATTGAGTTATTTTGTTTCTTATTCAGGCATGCAGTACTAAGACATTTTTTAGAAATTAAATAGTAAATTTGCAGTATAATACCCATCACTGTATGGATGAGTGTCATGACAGAAACATATAATTCACTTCTAGTTATGAAAATGGCTACCCTTAATTTTTATACTTTGTAGGGCCACAGAATCTACTGGAAGTATGAAGTGTCATTGTGTCACACATTTGCATTCATTTTTTAATTAGAATTGCTCAAGAAACGTGAAGTTACTGAACATCCATTTTTAGCTGTAATAAAGCCAAGCATAACACACCTAGTAAAATATTACACATTTCTAATATAATTATGAAATATTTAAAATAAATTAGCATTCTTTCCTTAAAAGTGAATGGATTTCAATAAACAGACTTCCTTGCAAGAGAATCTGGTTTATGAGTACAGTAGAAAAGAATGTCATGACTAATGTTCTAAAGTCATCAAAGCATGCTTGTCTAATTACTTCTTACACTCCTGCCTATCAACCATTTTTAACTACTAATGGTCGAAGTGCAATCTGTTTAGGTTGTTCAGGCTTTAGAAATCTGCAGTAGATCAATATTATTTTATATTTTTCTTGTTAATTCACCTTGAATTTAAAACAAAACATTCCAACCTATTGAGCTCATTAGAAGGTATTTTTCTTAATTTATTTGCAGTTCAAAGGTGAGCAGCACCCCACTGACTAATATTATTTAAAAGCTATGAATGTCTGATACTCCATGTAGACATGATAAGCATATACATAATTCTTTCATCAGTAAGATATTTGTTATTATGTATATTACTGTAGTGCTGTTGTTTTTTTTATGAAATTATTGACATATTGAAAAGACTACAGGCATTTGCAGATTAGTCACTGGCACCAGGCACCTTCTCTGCCACTATTACACAAATGATGGTGTTTATCTGGGGATGCTGCTCAGTTATGAGGAGTCACACCTCACAGGAATAAGAATATTACAGCGAATCTAATTTTACCTAAGAATACAATGTTTCAAGAATCCCATCTTTAAATACTGTTCTTCATGGAAAATGTTAGTTAAATTGGGAAGACTTGTTTGCCAAAAAATACCCCAACTTCAAGATAATTCTGTTCCTTGTTTCAAAACTGGTACTTTTGGTATCAGTGCTCCTGGAAATGCACTAATTCACGGAAATCTGAATTAATTCATCCTCTGCACACAAGCCTGGGTATGTGCTGTCCATTATTCCATTTTTGTTTGAAGAGATCTCCTCACCACTTATTCTTGCACAGCAGAGGAGATGAAACTGTGTCAGTCTGAATTTCCATGGTATCTAACAACAATTCATGGGTAGTCAAGGTGATCAAAAATATAAAGAAAAATTTTTTCAAGTTGTATTTTTAACATGGATGATTTTTCATTTTTCTTAAAATATAAATAGAAGTTTATTTTTAAAGATAAGCTAAGTTTTGTGTATGTTATTTTGACAGGAGAATCCTCACATTTCTTTTCCTCTCTCAACTCCTCTCACTTGCCCTCCAAATAGGGTTTTTTTAGAAAAATACGTCATTAGGCCTAACATAAAGCTTTAACTGTGTTTTTATGCTTCTTTTAAACTAAATATCCCACCACACTAGAGTTAAGGAAATTTTCTGTGAAAGCAACACAGAAATACTACATAAAGAAAATGGAAAAAAAATATAACTTTTTTTCTGCAAAAAACCCTATTTTATATTTTTGGGAAATATTCATTAGTGATTTAATTGCTCTACAAAATGATTTTTCATTACTATTCCCAAGTAAACTATTCATTGTGTCAAAAGCTCTAATTACGGCTGCTAATAGATAGCTAATTCTGTTAGGTATTTATAGTTTCATCTCCCACAGAGAGAGTTTGCTGGTTTATCAGTAGACATTCCCAATAAAAATTTAACAGCCTTAAAGAAGAAAAGTTTGCCTTGTATAACATGTACCAATTCCTTGAATGAAATAATTCTTAAACCAAAAATACAATAAGCATTGAATGTTTAAATAAGCTTTGACTATTTTCAGAGTACAAAATATTAAATTGACTCAGGCAGCGCATAATTACAAACATTTGTATTATCTTCAAAAAGAATTTTTGAAATTTAATTTTAATCACTCTATATTGCATAATTATAATTTTTGTTTAAATCCTGCAAGGTTACGTGGTTTCCATAATGGGACGCAGAAGGCCCCTGGCCAATATCAATGCACAGGATTACAAGCTACGCACTCAAGCAGAGAGGCAGGCTGTCAATTTTGTTGTTCAAGGTAAAGATCTGCCTCCCGACCTTCCTTTCTCCCCACCTCTATCCCTGCCTGGCTTTAGTGGGCAATAACTCTGATAATTTCAGAGGAATGAATATTCCAGTAGTCTACTAGAGTAGGTGTGAGTTTTACTGTGAAAAAAGAAGTTAAAATTATATATTCCATCTACCTTGGAAATTGCCAATAAACAGAATACTATAATAATAATGATAATATCAGCGACGGTATAAATGTTCTAATACACTAGAGTGCTCTGTGAAAGTTAAATGTAGGTATTGATACAAACTATGTATAGACAGAATATCTAGAATTCCTTTCTTCAGATGCATTGTTTCTTTAAACATTTTCCAGTTTTTATAGTCTGTTACTGCAGAAGGGTTTCAGTGATTATGTTTCTTACATATTCCAGCTTTTATTTTGCCAGAGAGCTTTAGTTTCAGAAATATAAAATGTTACAATAATTGTGCATTGTTATTGTTTTGAAATCCAGCTCATTCTTCGCAGCAACTTTCAAACTTAAATCTGTGGAGGGCAAGAAAAAAATTGGTTTTTTCCCACAGAAAAACATTTAACATATAGATTGGAAATGTAAAAGTCAGCATTCTATGCTCACATTAGTTAATCTGATGCAATAACATACTCTGTTTAAGTAACTTGGGCTTCAGGTGTGTACAGAATTTAGCCACCCAAAGGGAAAAAATATCTGAGCTGTCAGCCAAGACTGAGATCCCTCCTACCAAGCTGTCCATTAGAAGAATTATTTTTTTAATTGGATGATGCTGACAGGGTTTTCTCTAACTTAATCCTGGAAGTGTACAATTTACAGGCAAGGAAAAAGTGCTTTCTAGACATGGTGATGGCACGCTCCTTCTAAAGTTACTTGAATTTTGAAAGTATCGCTTTCCTCTCCAAATATTATTCATTTTAATGTTTCATTTTTAAAATGCCTTAAGTACTTATTTCATGTTTGACAGTCCTTAAGTACTGTCTCTGCAAAGATAGCTACAGATCTAGAATTCTAATTCTCATTCTGTGAGTCCTGCAGAGCACACAGTGTAGCACTGATAAAGAGACACGGCCCTCTGAGCAGCATTTGCTACGTCCATCTGTCCCAAGAGCTGGAGCAAGGCTGTCTCAGGAATGTCTATGGAACACTCACTTCTATGTACCTACAATCATAAGATTGTCAGATTTCTTTGTCAGTTCAAGTGATACTGGAGGACAAATCAATGCAAAATAATGCAGTTGTTACTCAGAATATAATATTAGAAGGTGTGGTAGAGCAAAGATTAAAAACTCTAAAATATTCAGTATTCCCAAATTTTATAAAAGAAATTATTTTAGACTACCATGATGTTATTTCAGCTATAAGATAATGTTTGAAGACTAGAAAAACTTTCTAAATTATGATAAAAATTTTTATCAGATTTAGTGCACTAAACTGCATTTAATATGTGCTTTATATTTAAACCTAATAGTCTAATTAATTTAAGTGATTTACATTTTGATTATGGTCACAGCGACTCAGAACACTTCAGATGCATGACAATATTGAAAGGAATGTAGAATTGTAGCTTTGAATTATTACAGTTGGCTTTCTCACACTTTTTTCATAGCGTTTGTTCTCTTTTTGAATATTTCCCAGTTCAGTAGTTTCCCAGTTCAATGTGCAGCATGTTATTCTTCAGTTATTATTCAGTTGTATGTTTCCCCCTAGAGAAAAAAAACAAAAACAAAAAACAACCCATTTTGTTTTATCTTTAATTATTAATTTATAATTATTTTCTTTTTTAAAATTTTAAATTAAGATACCTCTAAAAATCGTATTTCAGTAAAAAATTATTTTGAGAATTCTTTCAAAATTTATTACTCTATGTTTTGTAAAGAATGTATCTAGAACATTTCTTTTGTGATGGACTAAATGCTCAGTGTAGTTTTATTCTGACAATCACTGAGAAGATATTTACCTGACCTTTACTGAAACATCCTTTCTTACTTTTTATATCAGTTGTCCCTTTTTGTTGTGTGTTGAATAATTTGACACAGGAAAATAAGATGGATATTTGAGGCTAAACCTGCAGTCAGACATCACCATCTCGATCATCAGCTGAGGCTCTGCGCTTGGTACAGTTAATGAGCAAAACAGAGTCTCAAGAGGAGACAGTTTGTCATAGATGACTGCGGAGAAAGAAGAGATGTTAAGCTTTTGTCCTCATTCTCTTAGATATTCCTCCCAAGCCAGAAGGGCCCACTGTATCCTGAGGGACATCAGGCACAGCCTCACTGGCCAGTCATGGTCCCACTCTGCTCTGCACTGGTGTGGCCCCACCTCATGTCCTGTGTGCAGTTTTGGGTGCCTCAATATAAGGAGGACATCAAACTGTCAGACTGTGTCCAGAGGAGAGTCAGCAAGATAGTGAAAGGTCTTGAGGACCTTGTAAGTGAGAGACTTACAAGGAGCAGCTGAAGTTTCTTGTGTTGTTCTGCCTGGAGAAGAGAAGGCTGTGGGGTGACCTCATCACATGTGGGGTGCCTCAAGGGGCCCAGTGGAGGGGGAGGTGCTGAGCTCCTTTTTCTAGTGACAGCTGTAGGACCTGAAGGAGTGGCCTGAAGCTGTGTCAGGGGAGGTTTAGGTTGGATATTAGGAAAAGGCTCTTCACCCAGAAGGTGGTTGTGCACTGGAACAGGCTCCCCAGAATGTGGTCACAGCCCCAAGCCTGACAGAGTTCAAGGAATATTTGGACAATGCTCTCAGTAATACGGTTCAGATTTAGAGTCCTGCAAGCAGCAGGGAGCTGGGGAGTTGGACTTGATGATCTCTATGGGTCCCTTCCCATTTGGAGCTATTCTGCGATTCTCTGATTATTTCTCAGCAGTGTACCCTTGTGATTTGGCTACCTGGCTGTTCTCTGCCCCATTTGGATTTTTTTCCTCCAAATGATTCTGAAAGCTGAATCATTTGGAGGAAAAAAATCAGAATTTATTGAGTTACAGGGTTGTAAAAAGGACCATGATCTAGGACATTTAGGATGTTTAATGAGACAAGGAGGATTATGGCTTCCACTCTTTACTCAAAAGATTGTTTCTATGTTTTATCAGATAAATCTTTTGTGTAAAATGCTTGGATCAGAGCAAAGCCCTTCACCAGACTGGAGGCCTGGAGAATTATTCTGTCTCTTGACGACCAGAGATGTGTCATCTGTTCTGTGACATGACACTGTTTTATGCACCACTGCTCTTAACACTGTAGTGTGATGAATATACATTACATACACATGGAAATATTAAAAAGTGCAAAAGTAAGGCTCCAAATTGAAATGCAGCACTGAAACAATGTTCTGACCTTTTATGACATTAAATTTTAATTGATTAATAGGGAAATTTTAATTAAAGCTTATAGATAGATTATTTCATACCTTTTTTTATAGAAAGCAATTTTTCAACGTATAGTCCTGAATGACAAATTCACTTTAATTAACACATAATTTCATATTGTTATTTTCTAGTTTTAATTGACATGTAATTACTTCCTCTGTTACTTATTAATCTTATAATCTGTAATCATATTACATTAATTGGATCTGCTAGTTTTGAAAATTATTATAATTCAGAATCTTCTGATGTTTATTATTCCTATGCCATAGTTCCAAGAAGAGCATTTTCCTTTTGCATGCTTTAAATTAAAAAGAGATCACTTTCTTTTGTAGGCTCTGCAGCTGATCTTTGTAAAATGGCTATGGTGAAGATTTTTGCCTCTGTTGTCATTTCTCCAACTTTAACAGCCAGGTTAGTAATGAATGACTGCAAAACTGTTTGGTTTTAAAACAAAATTAGTTGAAATGAATATGTTTCTGTTGTTTTAATTAGCTCTAGAACTACCATGTGTACCTCTGAATCTTTCAACAAGCAAGGACATGTGGAATGGTTACATGGGTAACATTTAAAGTTATATCTTTGTGCTTGAATGGTTGGATCTGTAAATGCATCCATAGCATTGAAGTGCCCCATGGTCATTTAAACTCAGTCAGATCTAATTCAGTGGTAGTTCTGCACCTTTGGAATCAAGCCCAGTGATCATATCCTTCCTGTGTTTGAGTATATTGTACAGTGGGAGTTGAACATTCAATGGGCTTGGGAAAAAAACAGGAATCAGGAAACCAGTGCTCAAGCAAAATAAATTAACATTTTTTTATTCTTGTATAAATGGCTTTTCTTTAAAGAAAAGCTCAGTCATGATAATTCTCTTCTGTTGTGACTGCTCAGAGTTGGGTGGGAGATCAGATAATGTCCTCAAAGTGTTTTATGCCAGTAGCAGAAATAATGAAGTCTACTTTTCCTGTGGAGAAGTTGGTCTAGAGAGCCAGTGAACATTATCATTTGCTGCAATAAAAAGAGACTTTGAAGTCAAACATGTAGAAAAGACCCCAAAGAACTGATTTCTCATCTTTGGTAATGCAAAGGTTTTGTAGCAAACAATCCAGTAGAACATGAATTGGTGCAGTAGAAGTTCAGACAAAAGCAGAGCAGTGCAAGTAGTGCAGAACATTGATGTTTCTGTCGTTATCTAGAACTTAGCTGTAGCAACCATGCATTGAGGACTTCTATGGGTGTTTAGCTCAGTACAAAGAAATAGGGTTTGTCCTTCCAAATATACTTGGCAATTATGGGTATTATCTAACCCTGTAAGTGATTTTTGTGTGTTAGTGTGTTTCATTTATACACAGCAGTGTTGTCTTATTTGATCAATGCTTGAAAATACAATTTCTAATTAAAAATAAAAGTTCAGTTTGTTGAATTCAAAGTAGTTGGACTCATTCCTATGCTAAAAATAAAATAACTTCTGAATGATTCTTAAGCATTCTTGCAACTTTTTAAGCAAAATACCATTGAGCTATTTAAAAACAAAAAAAAGAGCAAGTGGCCCGCTAGTACAAATCTGAAAAGGGAAATTGTTCTTTGATGGGGATCCTTCCTGTACTCAGACAATGATACATTTTTGTATTAAATGTTGGATGATGCGCTATCACATACTGCATTGTACACTTTCAGGCAGATTGTCTGCACTAATTGTTATTCATTTTGCTACCTGAGTTGAATGAAGAGCCCAGAATCTGTCAGCTGTGGCATGGATGAAAATTTCTGCAGCAGTAGCAGGCATAACTGAGTTAGATGAGTGATAGAGGAACAGCCAACAGCCTTTAGTGGAGGAGGCAAGTGGAGGTGGTGCGAGGGCAAAGAACATTGTACATTCTGTAGTTCCTGCCTGGCACACAGATCTTTAGGTTCATCAACTGGCTGTTTGTTGTAATTCTGGAAAAGCCAATGTTTTTTGCTACTAATACCATGTCTGATTAAGCTTAAGAAGAAATCTTCTTCTTTCAACAGAAGATTTTACTTGGGATTTTCTTTCCCAAAACTATTTATTTTAAAGAAGTAATGTCACCAAATGGCTAAGGAGGTAACAGACATAGGGAAGTATTGGAGCTGTACATGTTAAAATTCATGGTGTTGTGAAAGCATAGGGAAATGGCTACACTGGTCATAACATGGATAACAAAAATATCACTGCCTATCCTGGTTGTTCCTATCATAAATGTCACAGCTCGGAAAGACCAACACTGCAAGGGCATTTAAAAAGGATAGACTGTTTTAAACAGGAGTTTTGAACTTCTGCCAGCCATTAACAACTGGATGGCTTTGCTAGAGAAGTGTTTTAGTAGTCAGTAATAGCTCCTTGCTGTAATATTTAGTAGGTACTTACAGGCTTGTCAGAAAAGCACAATCAATGCCTTTGTAAATTCTGTGAACACTTCCCTGCTTGGGCATTTGAAAACATCAGAAGGATCTTGCCAAAAGAATATGGGACTGAAACTTGAAATGTGTTTCTGCTTATCTGACAGGTGACATTCAGTTAGTTATTTTTTCAGTGGTCTGTTTCTTGATTTTCTTATCAGTCAGGTCAGGATAATGATCCTAACATCCTTTTTAAAGCCTTTTGAAAAATATTGTTGAAAGGAGCCATGGACATAATTGGTGCTATTGTAACAATGGGAATGTACAGTAGCTCTTCCAAAATGAGAAATATAATCAATCTCATATTATCACCCCATCAGATCATATTCATGCCAAAGAAAGCACACTATCTTTTCTGCTATCTTCATCCCCTTGTAAGTATCTTTATTTCCTTGTTAGAATTTCTAATTTTAGAAACAGGATTTTCACTTTGAAGAGAATATCAAAGAGAAATATCATTTTCACATGCTTTAGAAGTGATTATGAACATTTACATTGGGAGACAGTATCCAATTACGCATTGCTAGGCCTTGGCTAATGTTCAACATTTTGTCTTCCTTACCTTAGAAATAAAGAAAAAATAATTCTAAATAAGGTCTTATAGTTTTTAGTGTGAGTTTGCAGGTATGTTTGCAGTCTTCACTCCCTACACTGCATTCGTTGTTCCCGTGCTGAAGGCTGTCCAGCAGTGAGCAAGCTCTGACCCAATAGTGTGAAGCTTCATTTTTGTATGGCTAGCAGTCAGTAGATTTCCAGGTATTGTTTGCACATATGATACTGTATGTGGAAGTCAGGAAAGGTGATCAAGTTACATTTTCATGATGCTTCATCAGAGAGAAGTTCTTGATGAAACAGTATTCCTCTGTGACTGATCTATTTTGTCAACTAGCAGTCTCATTTTTCTCTATGTTTTTTTAATTCAAATACCAGCCTAGCAGCTTATGCAGTTGACAATAAAAAGTCAGTCAATTACTTGGAAACAATTTTACAGAAATCAGGAAAAGTAGTATTAAATGTAATGTATATGCTACAGATCTGATATTAGTATAGGTGGACTACTGGCATCAGTGTTAATATCTCTTCATTTTTTTGCATGGTACAAGTAAATAAAATTTTTCAGACTTCTTCCATATTACCTAGATCTTTCTTAAGATGTGCTGATGCTGCTGCTGGCCAAGTTGCTCACTGAAAATGTGCTGCTAACATAAATTATTGAAGTGCCAGCTTTTACCTGTCTGATGCAATCCACAGAACCTCCACACGATGTTTCCTGCAGGCAGATGGTAGCAGAGAAACTTCTGAAATGAGATCAAGACATATAGTAGCAGCTGAAAGCAAGATTTATGGAATTGATGAGAATGCAAAGGTGAACTTGGTGAACTCAGGTAGACAGTTGTAGTTCTTTTCGGTGTTTAAAACATCACTGCAGTGACAGTCACATGGAAACTTCATGAGAAAAAAGAATGCTGGTGAATTATGGAAGAATTGCTGCCTATAGTATTGTTTGTACATATTATCATTCTGTAAGCTGAAGAAGCACTGATATTACTTGGTGTTACATGGACTTCTCAGTATCTTAACAGCCTGTACATGAATTTTAACAAGTCTGCAGAACTATTGATTAATTTGGTGTGAAACCACCGATTCTGCTTTTGCATGAAATTATTGTTCTTTCACCACTGGACTTGTGCCACAAACACACAGCTTTACTTCTCATCATGTCTGGAGCCTCGTTAAAGTGACAAGTTCAACCACAGGCTAAATATAAATGAGTAATCTGAAAAGGAGAAACCACTAGCAAATAAAAGCAAAAGGTTTATTTTCTTGGTTGGTCCCTGCTGGTTTTCAGTAGCAGTGGATGGTAGAGTTTTTCTATGTCTTCCTCAAGGAAGGGATGCCTTAATCAACCTACTGATTTTCTGTGCTGGTGAGCTGTAAATGCAACACATTTCTACAGAGAGCTAAATTAGTAAGGAACAGCTCTTATTGTCCCAGCAACAAGTATTGTTTTTTGTGACCTGGATTTTTTTCAGATACAAGTCATGATAAATCACAAATAATTTATTTCTTGAAAGTGGCTTCAGTTTTAGTACAATTCAAGAATCTAGAGGCATTTTTATAAGGTCTGTAGGATTCAATAATTATTTCTTTATAAACTGCTTATAATCTCTCAGATTCATACAAGAGGGCATATTCATAAACCCATCTTGCTGATTACATCATAGTTTCAAACAAATACATTAAGTAAAATTCTTAGTGCTGCTGCTATGTGTGTTGATCTTCTTTAATTCTGGTCATAAATCTTACATCCCTTTATCTGTTTCTTCAGGAATTAAGAAGCTGTTTTTACTCATGTTTCTTTTCAAGCAATTAACCAGGATTTTCAACTAAATTATTTTTGCTCTGGTATTCTGCCCACAATTTCCACTCAATATATGCCCAAATTTCCTTAATGTATTAACTTTGGCAAGATGGTTAACTTTCAGCCTTAGCCTAATACTGGAGAAATTGAACCACAAGGAAAAGATAAATTTTGGATACTGCTTGAGAGGAGAATAAGATTATTGTTTCACAGACAAATGCTTTTGTTTCTGTAGCAGAAGGAAACTTCCGAGATCATATTGCACTCTCCATAGCTGTTGTCCAATATGTAGCTTTTTGCCTCCCAAAGTAGATAAATAACATTTCTATGCAAGCTGTAACTTAGAAAAATCATCACTTTCCTCAAGCAATCAAAGCAGTATTTTGCATGTATCCACAAGATGGTGAGCTGTTACCTGAACACTTCATGCTCAGTGAGCCAGAGCAAGTCAGAGTAATTTATTCTTTATAGAAAGAGCCAAGTATATTTAATATGCTGAAATATCAGAGCCAAAAAGGACATGCATGATGGAGCAGGTTTTTAACTATTCCTTTATGGAAGACACAAATAAATATATTTCATTTATAACCCTTTTGTAGGTCACATTTTAGATTGGTATGTTTTCAAACAT